TAATTAAACCTTACCTTCATCTTTATATTTTATTGTGACTTCATCATTGCTCAGAAGTTTTCCTCTAAAAACTCTTTGCATCATTAGCACCAATTCATCATAGGTGATATCTTCATTGTGAATAGGGATTCTCCTAATATCTTCCCCAAGCTGAGCTTTGATGATCAGCTTCCCGCTTAAGTCCAGCTGCCCATTCATGGTGGATTCTTTATTGCCTGCTGACCTGTTAGCAACAAAACATTAAAAACATTTCAGAAAACTAAACTGTTATTTAGATCTATCTGATGACAGTTCTGAAGCTTTACATTATCACTTTACTTGATTATTTTTACATGCCCTGTAATTATGGTAATGGACAAAGGGCTTTTTTTTTTTCTTCATTAAAGAAAAGACTGCTAGAACAAGTAACTTATTTCAAAGATTACAGGTTGTAAGTTGGCTTTACTAAGGGGATCAAGCTGAATCATGTATTATTTCTTGAACAAATAAATGAAGAGCTAAACATTTGGTTTATGATATGGATGATCAGAACTCACTGAGGGTTTCTCGTCAGAAAGGAAGATACACAATTTTTCATTTTTAAAGATTTTGACCGAGATATTTTAATCAAGATTTTAGACTTTTAAAAGCTGCTCAACAGACCACACATTAACTACTCATTGGGCTTGACTCATGGTCAGAACACTTGGTTACTCTCAGTGTTTTAAGAGGTAGACAACTGCTCCAACCTAAACGAAGTGAAACAAAGCCATCTTGTGTCCCAGCAGCACACTGCATATACTTCAGAGTTACACCTTTAGCACTTTATACGAGACAGTTTAAAAATCGTCACTTTGTATGAGGCATCTCATTTAAAAACACAAAGGTCTTACATTTAAAAACCAGAAGCTACAGTGAAGTTATGAGAAGAGGAATGGGGGGAAAAAAAAAAAAGAGATCCAGGTAGTTACTCAAATGTCCCCTTCTTGCTTCACTGTTCTGGACAGTGCCAAAACAATAGATCTGGAATGAGGAGCAATTAAAGAAGCAGTTATCTTAACATCTCAAGTGCAATTACTGAAGATGTTAAAAAGTAAGCAGCCCTATACATCAAAATTACAATTTCTAAAGCCACATATAGGTAAACCTACTGTTTATTCTCTTGTGCAAAAAGATTTCTTCTTAGAGATATCCAGGTATTTCTCTCTTACTTTTAAGGATGTTATAACACAGTGTCTTATGAGAAAAATTAATTTTGCTTTGGTCAGTCTATTTTTACAGTACTGCATTGAAAATTAATTCTCTCCTACCAGAGAAACAAGACACTCAGCTAAAGCCTTTAATACATAACTCCTTGATGCACATATATATATATATATATATTTAACTCTACTATTTCAATGGCAATGTTTTGACGGTATCTCTAGATTGCAATTAAATTTCTGGGGGTTTTGGTAATTAACTTAACATAAAGCAAAAATTTCATGCAAATCCCTTTGTTTAGTCCCAAAAGATACAAGCAATTACTGAACAAAACTCACTCTCCTCATCACACCTAACAGGAGGTAGGTGGATACAGTCTAATTGCAGAGAAGGGGGACATGCAATTAACACAGCTACTTTGCTGCTGAGGCACTATGATGAAAAAGTGAAGTTTATAATACTGTTAATGCTCACCAATACATTATTCATGTTTTGCAGCATGGGAGTCTTGACTGCAGGCACATCAACCAGTCTAATTAACTTTAAATGAGTTTTAAAAGCACAGAGTTTTGCACAAGTTGGTTGGTTGCTGGGATTTTTTTTTTAATTTAAGTATTAAAAAATAAACCAGTATTGATCCACAGGTTTCCTTTCACCTCCTTCCCAAAACCGGACATCTATCATTACCTTGAGTGTCTTACTGATGCTGGATTATTGGACAGTTAGGATAAGCCGCCATGCACTACCAGTGCCAGAAAACAGTAAGCTGCATCAGAAAAAAACACATTTATAGTCACATTTTCTTAGAATTATACAACTCACATCAATTTTTCACTTTAGAACATCTTAAAAAATATACCAAACTAAAAAAAATCCTTGTTTTATCCATAATGTAACAATCAGATCTACGCTTTCTCGTATTGTAGAATTTGAAGTTCAGCTTAAACAAATCTTGAACAAGAGTTTTAATTTCACAATAGAAGTAAGTTTTTTCTAGATTTTGTTAACTGCACATAGAAATTCCTAACAGTAATGTGTTCCTTTCCAGAACACTCCTCTTCCCCAACGGTCTCCTTCCATGTGTATGGCATCCATCTTAAAGACACAGGTTAAGTTAAAGAAAATAAACTTTGACTGATTAAACAGTACAAAAACTGAGAAGCCCATCTTTCAGCTTAAGGCTGAGGCCTCTGTGGTGTTAAGCAGTGTGTCTGCAAAGACAGACCAGACAGCACTATAATAGACTACCAAGAAGGAAGGAGGAGTAATGCCACTTTCCCCCAGGAAGAGCCACCAAACTGGGCAAGAAGGAAATGCATCAGAAATGTACAACCCCTTAAAAATACGATCTGCCCTCATTTCTGCTTAAGACTGTGCTTTTTGTGCTGGAAAGCCTACATCATATTTATGCAGCCCACCTGATTATTACAGAAGTGCCTAATGTCCAGAGCTCCTAGACAATGATTTAGTACATACAGACCAGTCCTGCAGAACATTACCGGCTCCTCCCTCCCACCCCATGGGCGTACCCCACCCAGCACTCTTCTCTCTTGCCCACACAGCCAATTTCAAGCACCCATAATCTGATTTTTAGATGATTCACTGCTAACCAGAGAGAAAAAGTAGGTTCCCCTCATCCACATAAAACTGGGCTTTCCAGCTCTCCTCTTTCAGCTCAACTGGAAGCAAACTGGAGCAGAGAGGCACAAGACATCCAGGATGGAGGCAGAGAGCAAGCAAACCCCAGAGAACATGCACAGCCCCTCTCTGGTTCTCAAAGGTTGGCAGCTGCTCACCTCACCTAGGGTATGAAATGCTCACCTTTGAAAAGGGTTGTACCTGCTCCTGACAGGGAGGGGATAAGACTGTTGTGACATGCTAAGCGGGTGGACAGGAAGAGGCTACTTTTCTGATGCCTCCCTCATGTTTTATGAAATGAGTAATACATGAAGACAGTGCCCCTCTCACCCCAGACTTGCTACAGCTCCAGGTAAATTTACTGTCATGGACAAATACGGGATACAGACAATGCATCTACGAGTGGTTTAACTTAAGAGTTCATTTAGCTACCACCTCGTGTTGTTTAAACATCAGAGCTGGGCTCTCCTTTTGCCTCTTCAGCATTATAGTGTAAGCTACTTAGAAACTGTCAACAGTAAGAACTCAACCTCATCTGTAATTCCTGAAGATACACGTTTTGGTGGATACACCTGAGCTCCTGTGGCCCTTCAACAGATTGAACACATCTTTGTGCAGGTAAATGAGCTGCACGTGCTTTATTTACCAGCCCCACTCACAGAAATCTGCTATCAGCAACTATGAAAAGGTGGCAGGAAAGCATTTAACTGCACTTTTTTTTGTCCAGCTGTTCTCCATTCTGCTTGAAGGTGTCCAGGGTTTAAGAGACTGATTTTAAACACCTCAGCTGCTTGCAGTTGTTGCAGAAAACTATGTGAAATGTTCAAATTACTGAATTACACAGCACTCAAGCTTTCTCACTGTGACACAGCTGAATGGATGACTCCATTGAGAGAGTTTTTCAGTGAAGACATCCAGAATGCACACTAATGAGCTTTTTAAGAGAATCAGTCAGTGTCTACTTTCCTCAGGGGGGAAAAAAAAATAATTAACAAAACATTTTGTCTTCACGTTTAAGATTCAAGATTGCTTTCCATAAGAATCACACTGACATCTTTCTAACCTTCCTGGTGTACCAGAGTAGAGTTTTTCTCCCCTCCTGGCTCACTTTCTATTCACATCATGCACGAATCCAGACGGTGCATGTGGACAAGGACTGTCCAATCTAAGCCAGTCCCTCCAGGATCCCCTCTAAAACTAGCATGTCATAACCATGTTGTATTTCACTACCCTTTTAGCACAGCAGTAAAGAAAAACAACCTTGCCTAAGAAAGGGAAGGACAGGCATTCCTACTTTGCTTGAAAAAAACAGGGGCAAGGAACAGAAGGAAGGACAAGCAGTACTGCCTCCCAAACCCCAACCGAGAGAGCCACGAGAGCTTTCCCGAGGCAGCGCGGGGGGGTGAGGCGGGGGAGCAGAAAGGGGAAGAGCTCTTTTCGGGTTTCCCCAGTTCCCAAAAGGGGAGCAGAAATCACAGCCAATCCCTGCCGGGCAGCGAGGAACCGGCGGCTCCTCTGGCCCCCAAAGCGAAGCGGCCGACCCAGGGAGCAGCCCCTGCGGACAGAGGGATCCCGGACTCCCCGGGCCGCGGAGGCCGCGGGGCGGCTCCCACCGCCCTCAGCCGTGGCCGGGGGCGCGCGAGGGGTCTCCCGGCCCCTCCGCCAGGGGCCGCATCGCCCCCGGCCCCGGGGAACGATGGCGGGGGGCGGGCTCACCCCCAGCCCGCGACCGCCCCTCCCTCCATCCCTCCCGCCGCCTCCACACACAGGGGCAGCCTTGCTCTCTTACTGTGGCCTCTCCGCGGTGCTGCCGCTGGAACGCCCCGCGCAGCCCCGTCCGAGCCCAGGCCCGGCCGCGGCCGCCGCCGCCCGTACGTGGCAGGGCAGAGAGAAGGGGTCGGAGCCACGGCCGGGCCTGCGCGAGCCGCGCGCCTGCGCGCTCCGCCGCGCGGGGCTCCGCCCACCTCGGGCCAACATGGCGGCCCCCGGCCGACATGGCCGCCGCCGTCATTTCGTGCCTTGCCACCTCAGCGCCGCCCCGTAGGGGTTTCCTCTAACAGAGGGGTTGTTTCGGAATACGAACCTTAGGCCCGCATAGGACTGGCGGTGCTGAAAAGTAAAACGGGCCGTAAAACTCTCCTGTAGTTGTCAGGCGCCGCCACCCTCGCACGGGAGCCTGTTCATCCTGGAATAGTCACTTCTAGGCGTTCGCTACTATTCACACACACACATTCATTGCGTTCGGAGCTTGTCCGCCTAAGAGAGGAAAACATGAAACTGAGCCCTGAGTTTTGTCTGTCAGAGGTGCAGGAATGGAATCCTAAGGTGCGTCTCCCAGTGCTGTTGGAGCTGGACCTGCTGTTGTTCTTGGATATCTGAGATTTCTGCTGCTTTTCTTCATTTATCAGTGAAGCTGCACTGTGCTAGTACAAGTGACAGAAGTGCCTATGCAGAGCTAGCTAAAGCACGACCGTGGTTAGTTATTTCCTGGAGTTAAAGATGCCCTTGAGAAGACACCTTTTCCTTCAGTGTCTTGAAAAGCCAGGCTTCCAAATGGTGATTTCTGCTGGGACAAGAAAAATGTCAAGAGTTGTTTGATTTTTGAAGTATTTGTCCTTGCTGAGAGCTTTGTATTTGCTTAGAGGAGTATCCCAACTTGCAGTTAGCAGTTGTTATTCACATTGAAATGGAGGTGAAAAAAGAAGAACGCGATACACATTTTTAATTCTAAACTTTTTAATGAGGAGGAGCGGCCCAGTTCAGGAAGCGTCTTTGCTAACTACTAGAAAATATTTAGATGTAATTTTGGCATTTTCAATTAAAAAATCTCTGATTTTAAAAATGTATTAAAAATATAGGAAAGATCTGAGAAATTGGACCTATCAATCCGTTATACTTTCTGCTGCTCACATTTCATACCTTTGTACTAATGATTCAGTCCTCCTCCAATCCATTTCTTTATCAGTGTTTCCAGAGTGTTAAGAAGAAAATTCATGATTCTTAAAGCTCACATATCACAAACAATACCAAAGTTCACTACATTATGGAGATAAATATATTCCATGTGTAGATAAGAGCTGAACTATTGTTCCTGTAACAATTAAGCATATAACCTGAAAAAGATTATTTTACTTCGTTCCATTTCTGAAATTAGGATTCCCTGGATGAGAAAAAAAAAGCTATAAAACACGTAATTTCCTGTGAATTTTTATGCTGAAAACATTTTATATTAGGCAAGACATGGTCAGTGTAGGCTGTAACAGCATTTTATTAACATCTGAAATACACATAGGATATTTCATTTAATTAGTAAAAAAGTCAATACTTTTCCAATTCAATACTTCAAATTCTTCTTGTGTTTTTTTGCTTGTTTTTCAGGATAATATGGAGAAAATATTTTTATTAGGTTTTTAAAAGAGCCATGTTCAAAATGTAATGGGATGTGCTTTAGAGAATGTTTTTGTTTGTGGGGAAAAAAATATCAGTTATTAGAAAGCATTATCCTTCGTTGAAGGAGCCATCCTCACAGTACCTAGCTGTGTTTAACAATACAATCAAACACCATCTTTCCTAAACCACAGAAATTTCTAAAATACCTTTCTTCAATGGAATTGAAGGACTTGACAAAAGCAAGCACTTAGACACTTGATTTACAAATAAAAAGGGATGCCCAAAAAACCATGAACTTCCTGTCAAAAAAAATAGTATGAATTACCTTTCCTAGGTAACTTTCAATAACCTTTTCTGCTTTTTTTGGAGCAGTAGTGATGAACTTCAACCTCGTATCTGATGTGACTGTTGTTTCTGGAGGCTTGTTAGTGCCACAGAACACTTATTTTCTTCCTCAGAGAGAGAGAGCACAGATTTCTAAGAAATGGGGAACTTTTCAGGACTGATGAAACACTTCTGTGAAGATATTTAGCAAGTCTCATGTATGATGCCCAAAATGTTCAGACATCACATTTGATCATGCCCACAACTCTCTTTGGAGCAGATTGGAAGTTTTCAAAATACATGGCATTTATTTTCAAAAAACATGAAAGTGGGAGGTAAATCTGACCACACTTCTTAAACCAGATTATTTAAAACTCAAGATGGTGTGTTCTTGTTTTATTAAAACCAGCAATGACAAAACATGTAAATATATTTGTTCAGAGAGCAGAATAAAGAAATAGTTTCTAAAAACTGCCTGTCTAAATTTCCCAGGCTTTTTTTCTCGCACAGGAGAGAATGGGATGAGAATACCAAGAATGCTCAAGTCAGGGTATGCTTCCTTCCATACAGGTACTCTCCTGTTAACCTTGAAGGGGCGTGTCAGAGGGCAGAACCAGGGGTGGACAGAACTGGGGTTGGATGGACCTTATTATAAGATCATAGAACCAGTGTCTGAAGGTGCACATCATGTGTATTCCCTGGGCCTCAGGCCTGAGATTAAAGTACCTGCTCTCTTTATCTTATCTTATACACTAAATTGGCCTGGAGTCTTTTTTCCCTGCGGTCTCTTAAGGCAACAGCAGTAATAATCACCTCAGGACTTTTTGCACAGAGAGTTTGTAGATCTGGTCATCGCTGTGTACAGGCACTTGGTTTTCAGGAGATCGATAACAAACAAATTAATGTTTAGGGATGGGGAGATTTTCACATATTTCCAATTAGCTGTTTTGTAGAAAATATCCAGTGGTGTGGTAATGAAGAATCCATTACTCCAAGTACTTCATACGCCTTATATGGAGGGGCATATTTATGTGAATATAAATCCAAGAACCCATCAGGGCTGTGCAGGGAAAGAAGATGCAATGACTTTCCTGTAGGCTTTTATCCAGCATCATTCTGAAAGGTCTCAAGCCATGAAGCTCTGGTTACTTCCCCGTTGGTTACTTTCCAACAACTAATGCAGAAGGTTTTTTTCCTGATATTCTTTCTGAAAATTATTTTATATATGATTTGGTATAAGCCACTCAGACAGGACGGTCTTTTCAGTGCTGACCTTGAAATAAAATCCCACATTGATTTGTACAGTGGGAAGAGTTTTATATGTGACAGACCAGAAGGATAGCATCCCTTTCTGAACAGAAGTTCTGAATCCCTGTAACTGCTTTCCAACAAGTTCCCCTGCTATACCAAGCTATAGAACAAATAAATCTGATTTGGTTTTTTATCTCAATTATTAGTCTCAGAATTGCTAAATACTTTACCTGAGTAGCATTCAAAATGTAAAACAGACAGCTGAAAACAAGACTTGTTTTTTCATGACTCATTAACATGAGGTAGCCTATCATCCAGGTGATTCTGAGCACTACAAATGTAGAGATAGTGCTAATCATATTTTTCATTAGTGAATCCTTTTTATTCCTACAAACACACACACACAAGTTATTAAATCTTTCTCTATACTATTTAATATCTTTTTGAGCTTTAAACTTTGTATTTATTCAGAGCTGTATTGCAAAGGTATGTTTTTCAGGTGAGTTGAGAGTATACACTTCTCTGTATTTGTCTGATGTATCATCCAGAAAAGAAATCCAGAAAAATAAATGTAACCAAATTTATCAGACTAATTTGTGCTTGGAGTATGCAGCTTGGTTGTATCTTTCTTTAACAAAAAAAAAAAAAGTGAGGTTTACCAAGGCAACAAGAAGCATTGAAAATTCGCATTTTAGGTATTATAAGTTTTTTATAATGCTTGTAACTTCAATCCAAATGTGCATAATTTTCAATATAAGAATAAGCTGCCAGTGAAGTTTGAATATCCAGTTTCTCTCAAGCCTGAAGAGACTTAGAGATAAGGTATTTCATTTGCTCCAATCACAAAAATTGTACATAAAGGAAAGAAGAAATGGTACTAAGTTTTGTTGAAAAGATCAGTTCCATGGAACTTATAAAAATTAAAGCAGTCCCCTTTTAAATAATACAGTGTACACTGTGGAGTTTGTGACATACAGCCTGTGACAATACATGGAGTGTTGATGTAAAACAGAGCAAGTAAGTCTTCTTCAAGGTGCTAGAGAACTGGCCTGGTGTTCAGCTGTGCTGGGAAAGTCATAATTCTCATTTGGCTGGACCCAGCTCTGCTCTCACTTTTATGGATTTAAATTGGGGTTTACTGTCATTGCACCAAGCACCCTTACATTCCATACCAGATTGATGCAGAGCATAACTTTTGCCCTCCAAGAAGCATGGCTATGCAGGTTTGCCTCCTCAATGCCTTTGCTTCACTTCTTGTCTTCCTCATCTCCTGCCTGCCTGTTCACTAGGCAGCACATCTCATGGGAAGGAACCTCATTCACAAGTTTTTATCTGGGTAATAAACATGTTTCTTAAAGTCTGTTCCTTCTTCAGCCCTAACAGAGAACTTCCAGACTGCCAAGCATTTACTGTGCTCTCAAAGCAAATACACAAAGCAGTGAGTCAGAATCACCCTGTTTGGACATGTGTAACTAACTAGTCACAAGACACAGTGAAGAACCTAATGCTGTGCTGTCATGCAAATATACCTGGAGCACAGTGACACGTAGTCAGGCAACTTTCGCTGGACATTTTCCAGCTTGTACATATAGTCCAAATTCTAAATGTTTTAGAGGAATTGCCTCTGTAAATGCAAAACATAATAATGAAACAATGAGGGTTGAAAACTGCTTGGTGGGAGCCATCAGGAACAACACACCACACAAGCCGAATACACAACATGGAAAAGGCAGATGTTCCTGTGCACTGTATTACAAGAGTTTCTTGAAGGAAGCTGAGATTTTCACTTTTCAATGTGGGCATCTGTCTGCATTCTTCAGTTCTCCAAGTAGTTCCCTTTCAGGTTGCAGTGTTGCTACTAACTGCTGCACTGACTTTAGAATGTGTTGTTTGGTCATTAATAAATAATAGGTAACAAATAATGACAGTCACTCCTTGCTTTTGGATGTATTCAAGGCTCTGGCTGAAGTCACAAGGAACCTCAGAGATATCTAAATTAAGGGGTTTAGTCCATATATGCAATCACCGTATTTGAAAGATTCTTTTACTTGGCAGAAATAGATTGTTTAATGCCCTGATTACTGTGAAAATGTCTCCTGCACACAGCAGACCTGTGCTGCTGTGCCAGTGACCAAGCTATTGGTTTCAGTGCTGTATCAAGACAATGAAAAAAAGCTCAGTTTATACCAGTAGTGTGAGCACTAACAGAAGATTATTAAATCACATGGCACTAAACCAGAGAGAGACACTGATTCTAGTTGCCCTCTGCTGATCCCCTATCTTTACAACTTTCCCTGACTGCACTCTGTACCGTAAAAGTTGCAATATATACAACTTTAAATCTTACCCCATCCAATTACTGACATGGTTACAAAGAAATGTCCAGGCAGCGGCTTCGTGGCTCTAAGCCACAATAAGTACAATTGTGCAGAATTGAGTGCGGTCAACGTAAATGTTGCCAAGAAAAAATAGCACAGTAGGACAGCCACAGCTGTACACCAGGAGTCTGTGGGAGGATCTACCGTGTCAGAAGTGAGTAAGGTGTTACTGGTGTTATCATAAGGAAGGTATTGCTGGTGGTAGCTGGTGGTATCACTGCTGTGATTCCTGGCATTATGATTTTCAATTCCAGAGATGAAGATTATGTTAAAAATGAGCATTAAAAGCAGAGACTCGCTAACATTCATGTTACAGATGACTTTAGAGTTTTCCTATTGGTAGGAATATGTTTAGGAGAAAAAAGTAGAGCAAAATAAGAAAAATTGTAAAATATTTCTTCATGTCTATTTATACTAAAAGCAAGCTAGAGAGTACAGCCTTTAACATAGACACAAACCAAAACAATAACTTTTTTTCAAAACCGTATCATCATTACTTTTAGCCAACTTGCCAAATCCATCAGTTTTATCAGATTTCAACTAGAACAGAGAATACCCAGCAACTTTTAGGACTGGGCCTTGTCTAAAAGCAGTTTGGGATGCATTTTCCTTTTTCCACTCTGCTCTTTTTGGAATCCTTTTCTTCAGTGTTAAGAAGTAAAGTAGCATAAAACACATATTTCCCAAACATTCTCCAAAGTGCAAAGAGAATAATAAAACTCTACTTCCAAACTTCTTATCACAGAATGAATTAGGTTGGAAAAGACCTCTGACATCATCGAGTCCAACCTATGACTCAACATCACCACGTCAACTAGGCCATGGCACTGAGTGCCACATCCAATCTTACCCCAACACCTCCAGGGACAGTGACTCTACCACCTCCATATAATATGTATATTATACATATATTATATAATATATGTATAATTATAATTATATATTATATAATTATATATAATTAAGATTATAGTTAAATAACTGTATATAATGTATATAAATATATATTATTAAAAACAAGTGCATTTAAGAGGCAGAGTCTGGAAGTTCCTACAGTCTTAAAACATTGACCTTGATGGAATTGCTCAAATCTACATTAGTACAAGTAGGATGAAAAACATGCATTCATCTCTAATAACTACAGCTCTGTTGGCATGACTTTGCTCCTTGTTCAAAGAGGAATCACATGTCACCATTAATCACAGACACATCCATTAAGGAAATTTGTTGCAATCGTATTTGTATTAAGTCACTCACAATTAAACAGTAGCACAAGCAGTTACTGGCTAGAAGAAAGATAATTGTTTAGAAATTGTAATACAAGGGTACAAGGGGGGTCAAGCTGGTGGTGGAATGCTGTTACACATTTTTAAAGCATAGTATTGAGTGAGATAGTGAACTGAAAAGCTCGAAGTGTATCCACAAACTATATACAGAGCAATGTATTGTAACTTAGTGTAAAATACTTGCAGTTTTACATCTTCCCTCTTACCTAGTGAATATTTGAAACTAAGTGGTAGCAATCAGGCCAGCCATGGACAAATCAAGACCAATATAAGAAATATACTCCAAAGGCTTTGCGTATTTATATTTGATCTGAAACGCCTAGAAAACAAATTGTATCAGTTATGTCAGATGAGAAGAGATACATTTCTTTCTGAAGTTTGCGTTTCTAGTTGCACATAAAACCAAAAATGGTTTAGTAAAGTTATGTCTGTTGCTAGCCACTGCCAAAATTTTCAGATCACACAAAATTATTCTGGACTTCGAAACAAGAGAAGCTTTTGAAGAAAGCCAAAAAGAGTTTTAACAGTGTAAATCAAATATTTAGCAAAATAGCAGATTAAATTATTCATAGAAAAATGCAAAGTGACACAAACTGGAAGAAACAGCTTTAACTTTTCATACTGGTGAACATTCTGAGTTTTGGCTTCTCGGTCTAACGTAAGATGTTACAAATAATTATTAATTGAAACCAGTCTTTGTATATTGACAATAAAGCAGCAAGAAAATGTAAATGTATTCAGTGGAACAGAATATACTCTTGCATTTGCATAAACAGATGACAATCTTCTCTAGAATGCAGTCACTTTGTGCCATAAGGACATGCATAAGATAAAGGGAAATACAGAAATAAGTAAATAGTACAAATATGGAAATGCTATTTTATGAAGACAGAGTAAAAAGAAACTCTGAAATCCTGGCCCTGCTGAAGTTAGTGACCACAGACATCCGATTTTATCCGGGGTGTGTTTTGTTTAGAAAAGCTGAAATAAATACTGAAAGGATAACAAACGTCAGAGACAGACAGTCATTCCCAAATAGTCTTGTTAGTACAAGAGAGAAGTGTATAAAACTTTATGATAGCAGGCTTAATATTTACAGAGCAGTTGCTTTTTATAAGCATATAAGCAAAGGAAGTAGGTAATGCTAAATCCTTTGAGTTATTTACCCAGCACAAGGCAGTGCCACAGCTAGCCCAGATTCCAGGCTACTCTACTTTTTTCTGGGGCTACCTTAGACTTTAGATATACCCTCACTTAACAATCAGCTGCAGCAATAGGGGTGCAGAGCCAGGACTTGCCAATACATTTGGCTCTCCAGCAGCTTGGGCACAGCTTGCATGTCACAATTTGCAGATCTGCCACAGGTCAGAAGCAAGTACATGGGGACATCTTAAATTCCTGTGCCTTCTAGCCCAGCGTGTCTATCCCCCTGTATATCAACATGCTGGTCTTATAGTTAAAAACAACTAAACAAATGAAAAAAAAAAACAAAAGAGACTCTTCCCATTAAAAAAACTACAATGTACTACCGTCAGGACAGCAAAATTAGTCGTGTGATTACACCTGCATCTCAAGAACTGGTCTCTTCCTTTTGCACAGCCGGCAGTGCTCCAGTCATTGGCAGAGTAGTCCCAAAAGACACGGGCATGATCACGCAGCTGCAGTTCAGATGTGTTGTACTATGGATTGGGATTGCAAGGAGAAAAAGTGGCTACAGAAACATAAAGAGATAGGCACTAGCAAAGAGCGTGTTCTGACAATGATTTGATTTTAAAAGGGGAGCTGACAGCTACTAAGAGATGCATGTGTTTCCAGTAAACCTTATGAAAGATATCAATAACAGCATAATTTTGCATTTTGAGCTTATTTATGTGCCTTTCTCAGCCAAAATTGCCAATGAAGTGACCCATTTCTGTGAATTATTCAGGTAACTCGGATTCAGATTCCCATTGACTGAGCATTAAACAACTGCCAATTGAATTCTGCCTAAGTCAAACAACAGCTTTCAGAAATCAGTAGCATTACATGACTGCCAACCTGAGCTGAATCCACGCTGTAACAGGAAGCAAACAATGATAAATGCTGCGAACCATCCCCTCCCCTCCTGCATCACAGTGGCACTCACGCAATCATACATCAAACAGCATGCAGTCACTTTCGGACAACATACTTCTTCAGGATACTGCAATTAGAACTGCATTTTAATGAGCAACAAGCAGCTTGAAGTGCAAATAAGAAGCGAACACAACTCTTCGCAGTATTAGGCAGCTCAATTAAAAATGAGGAATAATCGTAGGAGTGGAAAAATCAATTATAAGTTTGTTTCAGTAATTTCCTTAGAAATGACACATCTCCCATGTGCTTATACATATCTGTACTTAGCTGTATGTAACTATATATATCCATACTTAACACATGGTGATGATTATGATCTGTAATATGGATGCACTTGAGCTTAAAAGCTTTGTTAAATATTGTAAGAAGAGGCCAACTACTGTTTTCTGGAGAAACCATGCCAAACATGAATACATATTATCTAAAAATTCGGGTTTTTTGGCAAATGGACAGTCACATAGAGCATTTCCTGCAAGAAAGCAGTAACATCTGGAAACAGTCCCTGGGGGATGAAGTCAAAACAAAGCACACAATGGTTTTAATTGGAAGCCAGAGTTAAAAGATAGTCTGAAAGATGAACACCCCCCACATTGGTACGTATATTGGGCCATGCCAGTTTTGTTGAATTTTCTTGTTTTCCAAAGTTTTGGTAGTCTCCTGGAGGAAAAAACTGTCCTCCAGGGACCTGGTTTTTTTCATTCTTGATATAAGACTAATGTACCCTAGGATAAATCTACTCTGGTATACCTGTAACTTTTTATGGAATAGTGTTTTGGGTACAAATGTCCTAGGTTAACAGTACTGAGTTGGCAATATCAGCTGTTAAATAAAGAAGTTGAAAAATGTTTTTTATGCCACATTTTCTAAACACCCTTCATTTATGTCACCTATACATCCCACAAACTCTGTCAATTGCTTATTACCACAGGGCACTGTGCCAAAAAAAAAAACAAACCTCTGCTTGCTGGAGTGTCTTTCCATAAGTCCTGAAGACACATAGTAGGGCTGGTTCAAAATAAACATGGCATTTTGTACAGAGGCTTACCTTGGGACCAAAGGCTATTATAACACTGCTCGTTCTTTCGCCATCAATGTTGCCAGAGATGATTTGTTTAGACAAACTATTGCAACTCTGATAAATCCTTGACTGGATGAGTTTGTGGTTTTGATACAGGACAAATCCAACACTTCCATTGTCTGATGAACCTTCACAAGGCAAAGAAAAAGGCAGTATGGATAGCATATGTCAGAGAAGCTGGTGCTTTCAAAGAAGCCCACACTATGCTGTTTCACACATTCTGAATTTACAGGAATTTTTTGTTTATATATTTAATTAAAATTCATATGAGTAGCACAGAAGAGCTGCTTTCCCATGAACCTCAAGAGACATCTTCAATTTTTGCTGAGGTGGAGTGTGAAAATAATGAAAACCCTTCTCTTAATATCATTTCTGGAGAAAAATACTGGTAAGTTAGGAAAATAATATCCTAAATCCCGATATATACACACACTTCAAATGGCAAGGCTTTTAATAACACTAAATGAGAAATAGTCACACCAGGGACATTTACAGTTAGTGGGAAGTTAGAGGATAAGTTAGAGGAAGTTAGAGGTTGGCTGGACTTTTGCCTTCAGATCCGACTTTTGGACTCTGTTTCTTTTGCACCCTTCTAGCAAATTGGAGTTCATCTAAGTGACCTAAATCACTAGTCTTAATTGTTGCTTAAGTGAGGGAGCAAAAATCCCGGATTATATAATGGATTTTGTTATTGATTTTATACTTGAATTAAGATCAAGAGAGACTGATTTGATCTCTCTCTGATCTGATCATCAAGTGAGACTAATGTAGCTTTATATCTACAAAAAGATGCACTTAATATTGAAGGAATCTATTGGGGGGTTTTTAAGACAAGCTGTGCTTTCAATTTAGCTGTCTTGAGGGAAGTGTTATGGTATACTGGTATTATGATAAAGGCTTTAATTACATGATCACAATGTTTTTCCACAGGATTGTTGTCTGAAACAGTGAACAGAATGTACAGTGACCAGATAATGAGCTATTCAGTGATTTTTTTTATTGTCGATGCTGGGAGTGTGAGGCTACCTGATTTATCTCTTCAAGTCTTTTCTAACCCTAGTGAGAGGACTGAATTATTAATTTCTCTGCCGGCTTGTATTCAAATGATATTCAGCATTGTGATGTCTAAGTGCTCCATTAACTTTGCCTTCATTATACTCTTGTGCTGTGATGTCTCAGTGTCGCTGACACTACACTGAGAGACTGAGGACAAGCCTGCAGGTTTCAGGTGCCCAATCTGAAACTCTTGTGATGTCATAGAAATGCACGTTTGAAGCTCAGCTGCCCCACACCCCCCAGCTTCTGAAGCAAATGAAGCAGAGGAACTATAACTTTTTTTTTTTCCTTCCTAGTCAACACCAATTTATCCTCTGAGCACTGCAAATAGTAAGTAGTGGACGTCTGGAAATATCCCAAGTGCCTGTGCCATTAATGGCTAATCCAATTTGCAGCTATCAGGATGTGTATGTCCTGGCTGACACCTGACAGTAGTAGTAATTTTAGTTGAAATGGTTGATGTCTTCTGATTTCAGGCAAAGTAAGTGTGTATTAGTTCTTGATGTTTGTAGAGGTATGGTCAAAGATTCATTACACTCTCAATTTTAGAAAACAAAACAAATGAAAAAGTCCCAAACACTGAAAGTATTCTGGTCATTATGTGTATGTATGCATTAATCTATAAATAAAATTATCCAGCTCATTTGACATGTGCATTTCTTGTACCACCATATGGCATTAGCAGGCATAAAAACCAACTTGTAATTGCTTATATTGGCTGAGGGGTTTTTCCCCAAAGGAGATTTTTAGTGAATATTCGTTCAAAAATTTCCCAGGTACAATTTCAAAAGGAGAAAGAATTTTCTGATACTTAAAATGTTGAACAGTATCTGAACTTCATTACTGAGGTCACTAAGAAGCCCAGGAACATTTTCCTGTATTTCTAGTTTTGTTGACTGGCACTTTCCCAGTGCTGTATCTGCAACAATCAGCAGTATATGCGTTAGGATTTATGTTTCAAACTGCTGTGTCCAGGTAAATCCAACAAAGGACTTACTTCTCTGTGCCAAAACCAGAAACATAGAGGATCTTAATTGCAGTGGAGCAGACTGGATTGCAACATTGGGCTGTGAGATGTTGCCAGTCAAAGAAAATTCCTCCACTGTTTTTGTGAGGCTGCATCAAGAAAATGAGTGCGATAAAAGCTGCCATTTTTTGTTAATGTACAGCTCCAGGTTCAGTTTCTGAGCTTCCTCTCTGATTTAGTTCTCCAGTGGGAAGTGCTCCTCATTTCCTATCCCCATGCTTTCTCCAAAGCGGAAGAATCCAGCAATGTTTATATTGGTGTAAATTGGAAATTGCATATTGGATGAGATGAGTCTGTTCAGGGGCTCACTTTGAATACCCACAACCTCCCTCAGAAAAGTGTTTGTTTGACCAGTGTCAAGGGCAAAAATTTTCTCTCGCCTAATTGGAATTTCCCATATTGCCACTTGTCTCTGTGGCCACTCATCCTAAAACTGCACACCTTGAAGAACAGCCTGGCCCCATCATTCTCCACAATTTGCCATGAGGTAACTGCAGACAGCAGCAGGACCTCTCCTTTGTCTTGAGGTCATTGAGATTCTGAGTCTGTGAACTTCTGTACACCTCTCACTATTCCTTAAATAACCAGAATAGGATTTTTTGAAAAGCCATCAGAAGAACTTGAGAAATGTCATCTGGAGCAATCATGCCTCTCAACACAGTGTTTGTAACCTGCACTGAGGACATTATTCTAAATTCAGTATATTATATATAGTGTCAGGTTGGAATAAATGTAGAAAAAAAATCAAATAAAATATTCTGGTGCTGGAGGTACTAATAAGAATTGCTATAAGTACTGGCTAGGTCCAATTTTAGTTAGTTAGCACTTAATGGGTAGAGTGTAATTGTCTATAGCATCTCAAGAGTCTAAACACAAAAAAAGATGAGGCATTAGCTATATGATATATGAAGGTATAGCTAGATAACAATAAGATTTAAAGAGACAGAAAATCTGCTAATCATCAGGTCAAATAATCTGTTTCCTAATCCTGTCAGAGAATAGTTTAATTGAATAGCTTCAGTAACTGAATTCTTCTCAAATTGTTTATGTTGGGAAGCTATCAAGATTAATTCAATCATGTAGTTTTGATGCGTTTGTAAAGCTCGGAATGGTTGAAAATAAAGGTGAATGTGTTGCATGGGTAGGAAGGAAATTTGCACTTATAGTTACTGCAGATTATATTGTTTGACTTGAAAACATCTGCATATGCATCACAAACAAACAGTGCATCATGAACGCCTGTTTTCACTGTTCTGACTTTTAGCATGACCTTTGACTCAAAGTAAATATTTCTGTTTAAAAGGAATCAATCCTTTTAAACCTTGGCTCTGGGTCACTGGCATGAACACCTCCTCCTCCCATTCCCTAGCTCCCCAAGCGGCCCTTGGCTCACTAGATGGCAGCCTGACATTACAGCTCCCAGTAAAACCCCATATTACTGATGGCAGAAGAACAACCTTATGTTGTAACTTACTGGCATTTGAAATAGCTACTGCTAATATTATATATTAGTTTCAACCATTTAGTGAAGGCTATGTACTGCAAAAAATGTAATATTGAGCTTGAGGGTCTCCCAGTAAAGGATCAAAGCAGGTGAAGCATTGGGTTGAAGGTACAGTAGTCAAGCAAAAATGCACAAGGAAAGGGACTTCTTTTACTTAAAGGGATTGTAGCTGAGGGGGAAGGGTTTTGTTTTTTGGGTTTTTTTTCCGACTGGGACTAGTGATAAGGAAATGAAACACAGAAGCAGAAGAAGAGAAGCAGTCACTGTGATGTGCTTAGTCATGTTCAGCTCTCCATGTTTTGCAAAGGTAGCAGAGCTAAATCTTTGAGCGAGGCTTAGGGGTTTATGGATTTAGGGATTTTATGTAAGGCATTCATACAAGAGAGTTTAAATTTGAATTCCTGAAGGACAGAAATGTTCTATCCATGTTCAGCTGATCATAGAGCTGAATGGAAAGGCTTCACTCTTAATCCATCTGAACGTACTGGTGTCAGTATCGCTCTCATGCCAGTCTCCTCCAAACTCCTTGCACGTTCTTACAGATTTGGCATCCTGAGTCAGCATCGCCTCCGTTCAGAGGTAATTGCTATAAATTGGGAACCTGACTGAGGAAATTGCAGACCAGTTAAGAAATATGGAATGGGATACTGTGTTCAGACAAACCCAAGCAAAATAAAATAATCACCATTGGAAATTCAGGTCATTTGCAAAGCAGACACATGCCAAGAATGCCACTGAAAAAGGCTTTGGCCAATATTTTGCTTTCTGCTAAGTCTTAAAAAACATAACATATATATTTCTTGCCTCAATTTCCTATCCCCCCTCTTTTTTGTCCCCTGGGATGATGCAGAATCTCAGACACTGTTTAAATAGTAATTTAATATTACCTGTGATACTAAGGAGTCCAGATTTTCATTACAATTCAGAATTTGGTGGGGCTTTAAAGTAGGATTTTTCCCTTCTCTGGAGCACATCTGGATTGTTATTGAAGCATTACCTGTAATTTTGTAAAAGCAGGAAGAAATACAGTTAGTACAGAAGCACTCGCACATGCACATGACCTCATTGGGAATTAAAACTGTGCTGTGGGTGTGACACCCTATCCAGTGTTATTTTCTGCTTGCTTGTGAAAATTTATCTCTCAATATTACAAGTGACCATCAATTATTTAACTAGTTGTTGTTCTCTTTAGAATATGTTTTACATTCATATACACAATTTTGTCAGAGTGGCTGACATTCTTTATGTTGAAATAAGACAGGTTTAGTTGTGCTAGAGCTGCAGAAACACCTTTTAAATGGGAGACACCAGCATCAGCACTGAAATATCAGAAAGAGATTTTAACATGTCTTGAAAAGCATAATTTATATGTTATGAAAGAAATGCAAAGGGCACATGGAACAGCCATGCAACACTTACTCCTCTACAAGGTCTGTGAAAGCTGAGACAGTTCATGGAACCACAGTTGATGTAAAGCATCCTGAATCCTAATGCTAAATAGTAGGATACAAACACATTGTTCTTCTATCAAAAGGCTCTATCTGCTCTATCAGGAGCAGATACTAACTGACCCTAAGCCCACCCCTAGACAGGCATGGATCTGATTCAGCCTGTGTACCTTAAATTCTCTGCATTTGGGGTAGAAAGCCATGTGGAAAAGTTCGTGTTTCTGCTGCCTAAGCTGTGCAATTCTGGCTTGAAACACAGACTTTGCATCTTGTCTAATAATCCAACATCTTTCACAACCTTTACATTCACTTTTAGGAACTAGAAGCAAAAGGAAAGAAATGCATACCATTCACAGCATCGGGTTCACATTTTTCTTTGGAGTTGCCATACTTACCCACTGTGATCCGTTCAAAAGTAAGGGGTTTTCTATTGCTTGCAGAAATGTTCACTGCGCTGGTACTGTCGTCACAAAAATTAACTGCACAGAAAGAAAAAATAACCTATATCCAGATGAAATATTTCTAGCACAAGGATCAGTTTTCAAAAATTAGGGAGTGTTGAGACAATAGAAGCTCATTGAATCTTTTGCCCTAAATTAAATAAAAGCAGTTGGGTAAATCCTGTCTAAACCCAAGCTGTTGAGCTGCCACAAGTGATATTTATGAAGTCAGTGAAATCTTAAAAGCCCATCCTCTTTGCCATCTCTCCTATTTTCACTGCTTTGGTCCTCGAAAATTTGTAAAATATTATAAAGCTTCACTTTCAGTGTCTTAATACCCAGGCAGAAAACAGATTTGGTAACCTACTGCCACAGAACACAGCAGGTGGCAAAGATACACATTTGCTTCAAATGGGGCTTGGACAATTGATGGGGAACAGTTGTCTGGTGACTCTGAACCATGATGGGTCAGATGGGGCTTCTGGTTCAGGAAGTTGCTGCTGGAATGGGACAGAATGACCACCCCAAACCCTACACCTTGTCTAAGCACACAACGCTGGCTACATTTAAAGGCAGGATGATGTGCTCAGTTGGACCCATGGCCTGACCCAGTACAGCAGCATATTACAATCTCAAGTCATACCATACTGCTGTAACGGAGCACAAATTTACCCTGTAAAACTACAAACACTTGGAGAAAATATTGCAGCACACAGGCAGAAAATTTTTGCTTCATCTTACAACTTGCAACATCTTGGTTTCACTAATTTTTGCTGATTCAGACCACATTTCAGCTGACTGTGTCCCATTAGCAGGACTGACTCAAAGAAGCGTATTTATGGTCAGGGTCCTGAGGGGGGCTTAAGACGCCTGGAGTGTTCTCCATATTCTGGCACAGGCTTTTTTGCTAACTCACATAATTTTCTGTATTATTTTCTGTAGGGTCTCAGTTTCCCCGTGATACAATGATACTTTCCTTCTACAGAAATTATTACGAACAATAAGGATGCATGACACTGCAAAGATGAGGTCTGCCTTATAGCACCATATCTGACCCTTGCTTGCCAGAAAGGGGTTAGCAGGACAAGGTGTCAAAAATGTGGAGTGGAAGGAACCTCTGGAGGACACCTAGGCCAAACAGAGGCTTCACATCCTCATGTTGCAGTGTTGCAGTGACATGTTGCAGTAACACGCTACCTTTTTAAACCAAACCATTTCTCTTCATGCTCAGTCTCAGCCATCCCAAACTGTAGTTTATGACTGTTGCCTCTTGTTTTCCTTTTGGTGTTACTGAGAAGGATTGGTCTTTGCAACTCCCACTCAGCTGAAGATTGCTTTTAGCTCTGCCCTCAGCCTCCTCTTCAGCACAGTGAACAAGCCCAGCTCTCTCAAGTGCTCCCTGCATGCCACCTGTCTGAGGCCCCTCACTGTCCTCAGCACTTCCTGTTGGACCCCCTCCAGCTTCCCTAAGTCTGATTAATCTGTGTTACAGGTGGCAAAATGAAACACCTATTTCCCAGTGATGCCTCACCAGTGCCAGGAAGGGGAGAGTATAATAGTGTCCATCAACCTGTCTGCTTCCACATAACATAGCTGCTCTTCTGCCTTGGCAATGAACCACGTGCTCTTGGCTCGTACTGAACTTGGCATCCATCATCACTCCCAGATAGCTTCCAGCAGGCCTGCTTCTCAGCCAGCAAGTTCCTGGTCTGTACCAATGCACAATCCAATGCACGGAGATCAGCACTTATTCTTGTTGAACACTGTGAGTTTTCTGCTGGAGTGATTTTCAGGTTTCTCAAGTTCTTTTGCATCAAAGCTCCAGCCATGCCCCAGTCTCAGCCATAGCCTCTATCCACCCACCAGAACGTATGATGATTTTTATTCCGTCTTTTGGCGGAAATAGTAAGTTTTGTTCAAAGTAGTCATTGCACACGCTGCTGCAGCTTCAGGAAACAAAAAAGCACAGTCTAAGCAATATCAGGGAAATTGCAAATCTTAGAAATTTCTCAATATGTTGTGGTATTTTTTGTGTTCATCAAGCTCTGAAAATGTTAAGGTTTTTTAAAAGAGACTGGAAATCTTGAATGGTTAGGGGGTATTCTGCAGCAGAAATTTCGGTAGGGAAGGGATTGGTGGACCTCAGGCTCTGAAAGATGGATCCAACATCTGGGGTATCTCCAGAGACCTCACAGTCAATCTCACCTGGTCTCTAAGTGAAGGATGGAGTTGGAGTCCCTTCCAATAATGTTCACAGTGGATATTACCCACCTGTGCCCTGGCTGCAGTGTATGCCTTGGAAATAATGCAGAAAACTGGAGTTGAGGACTGCCATTTGATCTGACATTTTAATGCCTGTGTTTGGAGATGCTGACAAGCTGAGTAAAGCCAGAAAATTCAAAAGTAAATAGCACTGCCAGGAACATGTGCCATTGTATATTTCTAATGTTCTCACTGAACTAAAAAGATTGCCTAACTTCCTACTCTTTAATGGCATTCATGGAACTGGAAGATTATTGCAAACTATAGGGGCTGTGCCACGTGACAGTGGTAATTCTGTCCTTGGCACACATTGTTAGGCTTTTGCTCATGTTGTTGCTATGTAGCAATTGTGTTTCAGGCTGTCTCAGCTACATTGCAGCCAGATGTGTGTGATGATAGTGGAATAACATCTAAATGTCGTTAGGTAATGTCCGTATTAGCCATCAGCTTTTCAAAACACATTGGCTCTCCACTGGAAATCTTACAGAAAACTCCTCCAGCAATTGAGATCTGGGTCACCCAACTAAGCAGCTGTGGAGAACATTTGTTTCTGTGGGAGCTGGTGCCCGGTTGGGCAGTGTTGCCCCACTGCTCAGCAGCACTGTCTCACTTGCCAGGCACAAGCACATGGCACATGGGGCCATATGGCATAGGACTGACACTGCTTTGGATTGGGAGCCTGGGAACCCACAGGATACAGGGGAAGTTGCAGCACAGCTCCAAGCCTCTGTCTTGCTTGGTGAGCACCTACCCAAAACAGCCAGGGAGACAGCTGGGTAATCTGGCACAGAGGATCCCCAAACCAGGAAGGCTGCCCTGAAAACACCTGAGCCCTGGGCTGCCTGCTGAGGAGCAGGAGCAGATGGCTGGGGCAGCCTCAGGTGGGAGCAGTGGTGGCAGTGCTTCCACAGCTGGGCTGGGGGCAGGGGTCTGGCTTTGGCACTGTTAGTCATGGGCTTCAAAGGAGTGTAAGGAAAGGGAAAGGTGAAAAGGAAGACAGGGCTGACACTTCTTTGAAAGAAGCAGAACAGAAAAGCAGGTAGATGTAGGGTAAAAAGCCCCTGGAGGTGCAGACACAGCTGCCATGAGGCCCGTGCAGCAAAGGGCAGCAAAAGGCATCAGCCTTAACTTTGCCTTCCCCAAAAGAGGCCCTCTGTAACAAGGTGGCACTCGTAGGATCTGTTAATCCTAGTTGAAGCTGTGCCTCAATTTAGTGCTTCCTGGTAACTTTTCTTAGCCTACTATTCAAGGTCTCATGTAGCCTTTTTTTTTTTTCAAAGAGAAATCTGTGTCCTTCCTGAACATAAATTCCTGAGTTGACTAATGCATTTATATCTACTACACACACAGTAAAACTCATCAGGCTCCAGTAATTGTGGCATTAGCTTAAAATCACAGGGTTCTCCTGGCTTTAAGATTCAGAGAACATCTTCTTTGCCTTTGTCTTTTAAATTTTGCAGACATTATTAATCTCAAGAATCCCATTGATTTTTGACCATATATATTTCTAAACTAAAACTAAACAATTTTTGCATAATACTATGTCACCATGAGTTCATTGTTGATGCTAATACTTGTGGTTAAAGTCTGAATAAAGAAACACTACCACTATGCACAGCAAGCAATGCATCAGAGAGGCAAGGAAGTGTTCTGCAGCCCTGAAGTAGCTGCAGTTGAAATCCATTTCCTAGCAGCTCATTTGCTTGCAGTTCTGTAGATGTTAAGCATAAGCAGAGGTATCCCCATGCTGCACTGAGAGTTAACTCCCATCTCATCTGTGTTTAGCTCCAAGTCAAAAAAAGCTCTGAGCATATACTTATATTAGCAAAGGTAGATTATTAATGACATATGTTAAATAATCGCTGTTTACTTTTGTGTCCCTTCTTGGGCTTGGGTATGTTCAATCCCTACAAACATCTGATAAATCTCTTGAAGTCAATGTAACCTAATGTATCCTCATATAAACTTTTCTTTAGGTTTCTTGGTCTCAAATCATATCTGACTCTCTGCTGGACAAGCAGCCAGGAGTATTGGATTCTTTCCAATAGAGGTCCATGAAAAATTCTACGTCACAGAAATAGAGTGAGTATTTTGCTAAGAGGAAACACTGACCAGCTTTCTACTCCAAGTTTGCACATGGAAGTGTTTTACAAGGGTGCATTGACCTGATTTTCAGATATAGAATATGCAAATCTCTGATATTCTTTCAATAAACTTTTCTGTAATGCAAGTCACAATGAAAACATGAACAGGTGCTGTACAGCATGTCTTGCTTATATGCATGCAAACATATAAGCATATGCAAAGTGAAATATTTCCACTTTAAAATGCAATTACTAGGCTAGATAGAAGTTTATTTTTGTCCTTTTAAAAATAAATCAAATTTCTACCAGAAGAGTGAGAAAATTTCAAGACATTTCTCAAAGTTATATCAGAGGATTCATGGTCAGTGTACAGATGTTACAAGGAAAACACTCCTGAGATTGCTTGTCATCCTGTTCTGTTTTACAACAGCATACAGAATTTGGGGTACCTCATTAAATATCAGGGTAAGAAGAAAAATGTTTGCACCTGAGAAGCATGCAACATGGATATAATAATGTTTGTCAGCAATTATGTTTAAATATTTAAGGAAATCGTTCAAATGGGGTAGAATTATGTTTCTTACCTGCTTTAAACCTGAGGAGTTCCCAAATACACAGTGCCCAAAGGGTCACAGTCACTACACAACAGGTAATTCCAACAAACATTCTGTCCCAGTGGATGGAAGGCATGTTGTGAAGCAGACTGTGTGCTATGCTATGAAAAGGTACTATACATTCATAATCTTGTGATGGGTAAACCATTAACTGCTTGTCTACTGATAAAACTTTGACCTTTTCCATTCCACCTAGGAAAAAGTTTTGGCATGTGTGTATATTACCTCCTGGGAACTGACTCAGACCAGGCCTGCATATACTCTGGGGAGGGGTGTTGGCTGGCAGAGGATGAAATCGAGCCAGGCACTGTTTCTGGAGCTAGCACACAGGGATTAGTCCCTTTTGGCCTCAGTTCATTTGCTAGCACAGCCATAACCACCAGGCTCTGCAGCAAGGTGGCCATGCGGGACCAGGGAGGATGCTGTGGGAAGGTCTCTCCTCTGCAGAAATGTTCCTCTTGGTGCTGAAAGGAGGTGGAAATGCTGTCTGTATTAGGACTGGCCCAGGGCAGGCACTTGGCACACACTTTCAGGACAGTACACGGCATTTCCATACTACATAATTTGAACAGGCAGTGCAGAGCCTTCTTGCATCCCCTCTGTGCACTTCCAGCACTATATATGGTCACTCAGGAGGCAGTGGCACAACTGGGAAAAAAATCTGCATGGCACACCTGGGAATAAAATCTGTGTCTTCTGATTGATCCAGAAGAGAGCAGGGAAGCAAAAGAAAATGGGTAAAAGGCAAAAGTAAAATGTGAAGGGGGAAGAAAAGTTATACCACCAGAGCTGCCCAAATCAGCATCTTTTTCTGCATACTAGTGTGTTTCCTGCTGACAAATTCAAAGCTAAGAGATGATATCACAGTCCAAGAGAAGAAGAAAATAGAGTTATTTTAAGAATGAGTTGAAATAAACACTGTCTTTTTTGTCATCAGCAATCAGTGGATTAATTCCCCATGTGTGAGTAGGGACAGTACCTTGTTTTTATATGGTGTTTTTCATTAGTGAGGAAAGGAGGTTTGTTTGGCTTTTTTTAATTACTGAAGCAATTCCATCTCAGTTTAAAAAACAAGGCTCAAAAAGCTGATGTGACATGCCAAAGATTTATGGAAATGCAGTCAAAAAAAAAAGGCTCAGGTCTCTTGGGATGTGGCCCAATGATCTAGACACTAGATACTCCAAATACTTCTATTAATACTACTAGATACTACTGTTTCTTTAACACATTACAGATTATTATGATGTTTTTTCTTCTTACCAAGAGTAAAGATAAGTAAGGTAAGTTATGCATTAAATCTTCTTGGTGGCAATCTGCAAGGTATTAATAATAATACTCATGTTCATATTCAAAGAAACTGATACAGAAAATAGAAAAACACATCTAGACATTCCATATTGAAGAAAGCACCTAAGGACACAGGAAAGACTGAGGAAATCCTGAAATAATTCGATTACTTTTACAAATGGGGGTTCCAAAATTGTTAATAAGCTTCTTCAGACAGCCAAATGTCTTAAGTGTCTGCTCACAGAGGTTTTAGTTAAAGACAGGCTGTGCAACTACTGGGACAAACCTCCAGGTGGGACAAGGTTGCCTGCTGTCCCTCTGGGTGCAGCTCTGTCCAGCTGTGGGTCTGCCTGCCTCTGTGTAGTAGCCCTTGTGTTACAAGCGTGCCTCTTGCCCTAGATCTTTCCTTTCTCTATGTTATTCTCATTAGCATGGAAAACAGAGAAGGGAAAATATCCTCAGTGCTGGGATCAGCACAGAGGCACAAGGAGGGCACAGGAACCCGACACCCAGCTGATGAGTGGAAGTCTGAGGGTGGGAGGATACAGCTGTCTCCTGGCCATCAAGGGGCCATTTGAGCCTTTTCCCGGCCACTGAGGCTAAAAGGGCCCCTTTGAGCCTTTTAACTCAACGAAGTGATGGTTGTATGGCCCAGCTATCTCACTGCTGTCAAACTGTGCAAAACAGCAATGCTCAACTGAAGAGAACATCTCCTCCTTGTCCTGCTCACAAAGAATGCTTAGGACCCTTGCACCTGTTAATTGCTTTACTGCCTCTCGCCATAAACAGTTAAATGTTTGTTTTTCTGTGGTTGAAAGGGACAAGAATGTAAAACTGAGTCTAAGAGACACATGGGAAGATGCTCATCCCTGAGCAGAACTAGTACAGACAAAGCAGAACCAAAGTGTAATTTGGATCTTGCGGATGGGGGAACTGAGTCACAGAGTAGTTCAGTGACACTAAGTTAGGTTACATCCATAAGCTTATCTAAGCTAAGTCTGAGGTTTGCAATACATTGAAAGCATATCCAGCTTCTGAATCACAGGTCTGAGTGATTTGCTAATAGACATGCTGCTAGATGATTGCAGATATTTTTAAATGACAAAATAGGAAAGAAATAGGAATTAATTCTCATGGTTATTTACATTGCTGTTTCTGTTCAATGGAAACAACATTCCTTCTTCTTTCCTTTTCATAGCTGTCATCACGGATGTCTTTGTCCAGCATGTTGTGTTTAGATATATGAAATATTGTAAGTCCAAAACCTTCGTTTGCAAGCCCAGGTTTGCAAATGGAAGACAATTTGTTAACTGGGAAGTTAAAGTAGGATTGTGAGTAAAAAAGATTGTGAACTTCTAACTTTGCGTTAATGTTTTATATAAAAATTAGGCGGGAAAATGGTATAAGAAACCAGATGGCAAAACCAACACGAATCAATAAAAACATTTTGAAAGATAGTACACTTTTATGTATGAAAATATTAAACCATGTTTATATGATAGAATAATCAAACTGAAGGGAAACCTTAATACTTGCAAATGTGTATATGTGATGCAGCTGCAGGGAGATAAAACCACTCTTGAGTGACTGAATATGCTTCTTTTGCTTTCCTCCATTTCTTTTAAGCCTTAATTAAAGCCAGATGTTTCTTATTGCCTTTTTTTTGTTGTTTTCAGGCATGCACAAAGTGCTGTGCCAGCAGTAAACACCATCTCTGACTTTTTTTTATGTGTCAACTGCATCTGGCTGAGTCAGAGTCACAAACCAGTAAAATTCCAGCAAAGCAATGCAAGCTTTCACTCCTGCTGTCATTCCTGTTGAGAGCGGGAAATTGGCATTGCTCTTTCTGGGATTGATGCACAGGAGCCATAAAAATCCAGCATGTGCCTGAGAACCTTGCCACTGGCAAACAGCGCTGGAGGCAGACTGGAATGCTGTATACTCTGAATGCAACTGCCCCTCCCATACTCTTAAGAGTGCTGGGAGTGATTTCTTGTGCTTAATTGCTATTCAGTTGTATAGAACTGCAATCTGTTTTCTATTTCTTCTTTGTCCCCCTCAGGGACTCAATGGCTGGTAACTACAGCGTGTAGAAGTAACCATTTCTGCTCCAAATTCATGCCCTTACTGTGACATTGACCTCTTAGGTGCCATCTCTGGCAGAATATTTTGTCAGTAAATGGCAGTGGTCTATATGTGAGAGCTTTCTTTCCAAACCAAATTGCAAAGTACTAATGCTGTAGTATTTATAATGATGTTTTTCAACTACTTTTAAAAACTTATTTTCATTCTAAGAAGTGTATTAAATATAGAAATCCATGAACTGCAACAAATACCTAGCAAAGAGATAGAAATTACTGTTCTAAAAAGTCATCCCAGGACAAGTTATGACTTACTTGACAAATATTAGGCTTTTTACTCCCACATATTTTGAGCAGGCACATATTGTACCTAGAATAGATTACAAGGACAAATTTTCCAGCAGTTTTCCAGTTGTCTTTCTCCCTTTTAACAGATGTGCTGTTGCACAGTCCTTGGGAGTCAGGCTTGCTTCAACTACTGTATATGCTAAAGGGCTTTTTGGATAAAAAACTCTTCTGTTTTCTTCCACCAATTTTTGTACCGGTAACTCCCACCCCAACCGCTGTAGTTCAGAAGAACTGAAACATGTAGCAGGAGGGCATTAAGGTACCAGATACACTGAAGTTTTCTAGTGCCTCAGTTTTAAGGGTGATGAACCTGTAGGATTTAAATTCCTTGCTGTCATATTTGCTCTTAGTTCAAGCTATGTTTAGTTACAAGGAAAAAAGTATTTATTTACAGAATACAGAACAAATATCACAGTTTCTAATGACAAGGCAGTATTGACCTTTCTTGAATTCAGGTGAAACTTGTTCAAATGTCTGGGTGAGTTAAGAGAGTAACCTGTATATCCCACCCCATCCTATGCCATAAATGGTTATATTTTTTCCCCTGAAAACATGACAAACATCTTACATGAATAAATCAACTTTATTTAAATAAAATTACAGGTACATCTTGTCTACTAAAAACTACCATATAGTTTTTCAAAGGCTCTAATATTCAAAAATAATTTAAATTTTCTTGAGAGCAGCTACCTTTTTCTGAGTGGTGTTTGTAAACTTGTTAAACTTCCCTCCCCTCATTCGACTCAAACAATAGCTGTTGCTAATGAAATGATGGAGGCTGTACCTTTTTCATTGTAATAGCTCCCACACTGTTCCTGGGAGTCTCTTTTGAACATGGATTGAGAAGAATGGGTCGGGTGTCCTATGTAGCAAAAACTCACCCTGAAATAGGGTGTTTCTTTCCTTTGTGGCACCATAAATACATCAGGCACAAAACCCCACTATGACACTCACTTTGCGTGTACTCTATGTATTATAAATTAAATTCACGAGCCTACTGTTTCTTTGAGACTTCAGTATCTGTTTTCCCTTGCACTTCTTCAAGTTTAATAATTCAATGCCACCTTCTCTAACGCAAAGAGAAGAGAAAAACTCAACAAAGCGGAGGGACCAGATCCTACAACTCTCATTCATCTACCACAGTCCAGCTCTGCATTCCCTTAAGAGCATGTGGAAATACTTGAATAACAGAAGAAACACCCATTTGCAGCACCAAACCTGACAAACTGGCACTATTTGAACAGAATTTGTTGTCCTGCACTAGCATGTGTCTGAAAAAAATCACAAAATAAAATTTTTTAGAAGGAGTTATGAAGGGGAGAGACTGTTTTCTGGCACGACCACCTTACCATGGCCACCT